AATGTAACTCCTACTGTATGCAGATGAAGGCTCCTAGTTCCCGATAATGACCCAAAAGTATTGAAAGTCTGGAACTAAACTTTCAGAAAGTTCTGTTTTCAAAATTTTGCAATAGATAGGAAAAACATAAGCCATACTCTGGCACAAAAAGTAAACTGAAAAGGGTAACTGCTTGTTGTGATAGAAACACAGGCCTTATCTCTAGGCTTTATTTATTTATTTATTTAGAAATTTTAGCATACAAACAGAGGTACAAAAAATACAGGTAAGAGCAGCATGCCAAAGCCACTTATATGCATAGCATTATGGGCTGGCTTAAAATTAACTTAAGATTAACTAAGCAATGATGAAATCAGTGATAAGACATTATTGTAAACATAGAATCTTCATAGTACTTCTGCAACAACAAAATATAATGACTAGTACATCTAATAATTGCTTCTACAGGGATGGTGATGTCTTGCATATGTCAAGAGGAAAGTTATAACTACAGGCCACATATTTAAACTCACCATGTAATCTGCATCACTGATATATGGATATAGTAGGAGAGAATCACACACCATGTGTTGGCGCCCATGACTCACACCAAACTGTTGTTGTTGTTAAGGGCCCCGAGAGGTGGTGCAGTATTATCCTGCTGCTGCTCCCCACAGGAGCAGTATCACTACACTGCTTTTAATATATTATGTAATAGAGAGTTTTCTAGGTAGTAGGCTGGTAGACAGCAACCGCCCAGGGAGGTACTACCGTCTTGCCAAGTGAGTGTAAAACGGAAGCCTGTAATTGTTTTACACGATGGTAGGATTGCTGGTGTCTTCTTTTTCTGTCTCATACACATGCAAGATTTCTGGTACGTCTTGCTATTTCTACTTACACTTAGGTCACACTACACATACATGTACAAGCATATATATACACACCCCTCTGGGTTTTCTTCTATTTTCTTTCCAGTTTTTGTTCTTATTTATTTCCTCTTACCTCCATGGGGAAGTGGAACAGACTTCTTCCTCCGTAAGAAATGCGTGTTGTAAGAGGCGACTAAAATGCCAGGAGCAAGGGGCTAGTAGCCCCTTCTCCTGTATATATTACTAAATGTAAAAGGAGAAACTTTTGTTTTTCCTTTTGGGCCACCCCGCCTCGGTGGGACACGGCCGGTGTGTTGAAAGAAAGAAAGAATAGTGTTCATCAGAAGAGAACATGTATGTCAGAATTGATAGCGAACAATTTGGTACAAAAGAAGCAAATATCAGGTTGAAGTTCCTCTGTAGAAAGGTGCAGTGTATATGTACTCAGGTTCAAAGTACCCTAAGTCTAACTCTTGTCCATTGTCATGTAGATTATTGGATTTGGAACGGGTTACTTGATCATGTCAAAGTCAGTCTTAGCTTATATCAGTTCAGGAAGTTACATTTATTTATTATAATGAGGAAAGAGCTAAACCCATAGGGGTCATATAGGGCCTGAGGAATGGAAGGCATTCAAGTTCAATCCAAGAAAGAAGAGCATAAATCCATTTCCTTACCAAAGCTACAGGGTTGTCAAGATGACCTGATACATACATTAAATAGCAAATACAGGCAAATGCTATATTTTCCATTAAGCTTCTAAAAATATGACTCAAGAAATCGTAATGACACGATTGCAAACAAACCATATCTGGTTAGACCATCACTTGCATAAAACATTATTACCTGGAGTTTACCTGGAGAGAGTTCGGGGGGTCAACGCCCCCGCGGCCCGGTCTGTGACCAGGCCTCCTGGTGGATCAGAGCCTGATCAACCAGGCTGTTGCTGCTGGCTGCACGCAAACCAACGTACGAGCCACAGCCCGGCTGATCAGGAACTGACTTTAGGTGCTTGTCCAGTGCCAGCTTGAAGACTGCCAGGGGTCTGTTGGTTATCCCCCTTATGTGTGTTGGGAGGCAGTTGAACAGTCTCGGGCCCCTGACACTTATTGTATGGTCTCTTAACGTGCTAGTGACACCCCTGCTTTTCATTGGGGGGATGGTGCATCGTCTGCCAAGTCTTTTGCTTTCGTAGTGAGTGATTTTCGTGTGCAAGTTCGGTACTAGTCCCTCTAGGATTTTCCAGGTGTATATAATCATGTATCTCTCCCTCCTGCGTTCCAGGGAATACAGGTTTAGGAACCTCAAGCGCTCCCAATAATTGAGGTGTTTTATCTCCGTTATGCGCGCCGTGAAAGTTCTCTGTACATTTTCTAGGTCGGCAATTTCACCTGCCTTGAAAGGTGCTGTTAGTGTGCAGCAATATTCCAGCCTAGATAGAACAAGTGACCTGAAGAGTGTCATCATGGGCTTGGCCTCCCTAGTTTTGAAGGTTCTCATTATCCATCCTGTCATTTTTCTAGCAGATGCGATTGATACAATGTTATGGTCCTTGAAGGTGAGATCCTCCGACATGATCACTCCCAGGTCTTTGACGTTGGTGTTTCGCTCTATTTTGTGGCCAGAATTTGTTTTGTACTCTGATGAAGATTTAATTTCCTCATGTTTACCATATCTGAGTAATTGAAATTTCTCATTATATTATTTTTACATTACTGTATTATTACATTTACATGGAGAGAGCTAAACTCGTAAGGTTCATACAGCACCTAAAGGAAAGGGATGTACTCAGGTTTGACTTCTTTGATCAAGAGCCCCTTCACTGGGGACACATCAAGGTCCTTTTCTGCAAGACTTCTCTCAAGTCAGAAATAAGTTACCTCACCTTGAGTCATTGCATCACTGGCAATATAAACAAGGAAGATTTAAGGGAAAGTAAATGCAAAATACATTACAGGTATTATTTATTCTATATACTGTACATTATTATTCATTCTTTATTTTTGTATAATTTCCCTCAAAACTGGGAAAATCCTGAAAACCGGCTCGGTCTCGGTCCCAGAGGGTGCCAGATTTCAGGGTTTGTACCTGTATAAGAATGAATGTCATAATTTCGAGAATAGGCACCACAAATTTGAGTCTTTTCTAACCTAGGTAGCCATATTTGTTTTGTTAGTGCTTCTAAATTATTATACAGATGGCTTCCTGACTTGAAACACATAAGATAGTGTGATCCAAACTTACGAACAAGATCCAAACGACAAAATGAGAAAATAATTCCTTAATAGATTCCAATCAGTGTTATGAACATAAGTGATACAATTATCCTTTGTGCTATTATCCCTCTCTATTGGACATTAATAGGTTCAGAATTGTAAAAAGCTTTTGTTCTTAAGTTAAAACAATGGAACTGCAACTTGTTCATATGTTGGAAACCTCCTGTATTATACTAACTGGTCAATATATACTCTCAACATTGGGATAGTTGAGAAGTTTGATATTCTAACCAATCTTGTAATGACAAACAAGGGCTGAATATGTTTGAGAAAATGTTTAATTTACTTAAATACAGAGCTTTATACCTGTGTAGCTAACATAACATCAAAAGGCTTTACATACGTGTATATAATTCTCTGCATTTATATATATATATATATATATATATATATATATATATATATATATATATATATATATATATATATATACAACACATGTATATATATATATATATATATATATATATATACACACACACATGTATATATATATATATATCTTTATAATTATACAATTGTTTACATTAAAATAAGTGGCACAACATTATATTACAGAATTTTCTGAAAACATTCATTTTTAGGTTTATACAGTACGTATTTACATCACATTGTCAATCTTCATGTTAAACTTTACACATTAATAAAAATAACTTCTTGCTTGTTATTTTTTTTAAAACAGCCTAACACAAATTTCTAATAAAAATCCATTGCACCATTTCATAGGGGTTGTAAAGATAAAATAATTTTCTGAATGAACTGGTAAGCAGATTTAATTGTTTTTTAATGGTTTAAATTAGGAAAATGTTTTAAAATATTGTATTCACTTATTGCTTTCAATACAAATTTCATCAAAGTAACCACAATTTCATCCTGTACAGTAAAATTTTCTTTGAATCTTAGAAATACTAATCATCACTTTGAAACGAAGTGAAGAGACTGTGCCTCTCATTAACTCACTAGTAGTTAAATACACCCCTACTCTTCAATACATTCACAAAACTGCTTGCAATATATTTTATAAATGAAAACTTTCTGACAACCCCCAGGTGAAAATGATTAATTTAGCAGAGATCTGACATGCCAATTTTAGTACAGTGGACCCCCGCATAACGATCACCTCCGAATGCGACCAATTATGTAAGTGTATTTATGTAAGTGCGTTTGTACGTGTATGTTTGGGGTTCTGAAATGGACTAATCTACTTCACAATATTCCTTATGGGAACAAATTCGGTCAGTACTGGCACCTGAACATACTTCTGGAGTGAAAAAATATCGTTAACCGGAGGTCCACTGTATATGTATACACATACATATACATTCCTTGCACAAAATGAAATAGGTAATTACAACACACTTTACACCAAATGTGGAATATCTGCCATAGTATGTTGTGTGCACCTAAAGAAACATAATATATAATGGCTAAAGAAAAGATAGTGTGCCAGTCTTTGTAAGAGAAATTTCAAGAACTGACAGAGATAAGAAAAAAAGAAAGAGTTGAAAAAGAATATGAAAACTACAACAAATATGGAAGAGGTAAGGCCAGACCCATGAAGCTCATCACTCTTCACCGCCCTGATTAAAAAATATAATCCTAGCAATTTTTGGTGAATATAATAGCAATCCACCCTATTTAATCCTTCCTCAGACTTTAACCGAGATTTACCAGGATGTAGGCTGTTTATGTAATTTCTTTGACATTTAGCCCCCCCCTAATTGAAAGTCCCTTCTGTGTTGGCATTCATTGAAAAAATATAAAATGGTAGAGAATCTTTTTCCAAACGTAATAACACCAAAACTGCGAAATGTGATGCAGTGCTTACAGAATTATGCAGGTGTGAAGTTATACCAAAACTGATATTCACTTTCAGGCCAATATTGATACCCTTAAAGCTATCTGATACTCACCAATACCAATATGCCCCTAATGCAGAACCAGGGAGTCTAATTTCAAATTACAAAAATAGCAGTGTAGAAATTACAGAAGAAAGTGGTAGATGGCTAGAAAGGTCATATCACATACACAGGAAACCTAAAACTAACAAATTAAATATACAGTGGACCCCCCATTATCGGCCGGTTCAGTTATCGGCCAACTTGGTTATCGGCCGGTTTTTTGGCGCCCGGTTATCGGCCATTTGGGAGGCATCCATCCGCCGGCTGGGGCCACTTGCGAGTCAGTTTGGCTTTGTCTCTGGGCGAGTGAGGAAGCTTCTGCTCATTCATCCAAACATTTTGCTATAATCCATTATTTTTTTGTAGTTATTGATCAAATACAACTGCAAAATAAGCAACCATGGGCCCAAAGAAAAACGTTACATAGTACGTATATGAAACTTACTTATGAAAACATGCAATGTTTATATGCAATGTATGTTCAATAATAATCACTGGTACATTAAATGTCTTATTTTATGTTAATACAGTGGACCCCCGCATAACGATTACCTCCGAATGTGACCAATTATGTAAGTGTATTTATGTAAGTGCGTTTGTACGTGTATGTTTGGGGGTCTGAAATGGACTAATCTACTTCACAATATTTCTTATGGGAACAAATTCGGTCAGTACTGGCACCTGAACATAGTTCTGGAGTGAAAAAATAGACATTTTCATTAATCCATCTGTTATATCTTCAAAATTATGTAAGAAACATGTTACATAGCCTATAAACATGCAATGTTTATTATATGCGATGTGTATTTAATAATCACTCTTTGCCACGTTAAATGTCTTATTTTATGTTAATATAGACATTTTCATTAATCCATCCATGATATTTTCTTCAAAATTATGTAAGAAACACGTTACATAGCATATAAACATGCAATGTTTATTATATGCGATGTATATTTAATAATCATTCTTTGCCACATTAACCTTTAAATTGTCCAAATGTAGATCTACGTTTTTTCAACATTTGAAAGTATGTAAAAAAATGTAGATCTTTTTTTTTTTTTTTTTTTACATTTGAAAATGTGTAAAAAAACTTGATCTACTTTTTTTTGTTATATTTGAAAATATGTAAAAAAAACGTAGATCTACTTTTGGAGCACTACGCATGTGAACGTAAATCTGTTTGGACAGTTTAAGGGTTAAATGTCTTATTTTACATTAATATAGACATTTTCATTAATCCGTCTATGATATTTTCTCCAAAATTATATAGGAAACATGTTACATATCATGTAGCATATAAACATGCAATGTTTATATGCTACATTGTTTATATGTTATCAAGTGGAGAGTGAGATGGAGAGTAAACATTACGTTTTCTCTTATGCAGCGTTAGAGAAAACTGTGAATCTGGCGACTGGTGCAGTAACTGCCCTTCATATGCATTTGTTTACAATTCTTGGCATGAATTATTCCTTACTTCTCCCTTTGTTTATGATGGCATCTAAAGTTTAGTAGTTGTTAAAAACGATTAAACTCAGTGAACATGGTAACAATATGGCTGTGTATTGTAATATAGCTGTGTAGTGTAGCCCAGGAAGGGGGGCTACATACATGTACTGTACCTACATCTACTGCTACCTACACTGACTTCCTACAAATAAATACTACTCACCTCTTGCCCTACATTAAGACTACAAATATTTTAAGGTTAGTAATGAATGTACTGTAGCAGTAAATGACAGATTAAAGAGGTGTGCGCAATGTGGACTAGGGTGCAAGCTTTTGTAGAGAAACACCACCCTGACCAAGCTGAAACAAGCCATATCTGCAACATGCTCAGTGACAAAACCCTGTCCCACTTCAGGGAAATCTTAGAGACACGCCAGAAACAGACCTCTATGGACAGATTTGTTGTGAGACGGGTCCAGTGACTCTCAAGCTGGTCCTAGTAGCATTAAAAGACAAAGAAGGGAAGTAATCCCAGAGAAGGCTTTGCTACCTAAGTCTTTATGGAAGAGGATTCCCCTTCCAAACATTAACTCCTCCCTCTTTCCTCTTCCCTATCTTCCAGAAGCCAGCATTAGCCTTCAATAAAGGTATGTAAAACTTACATAATTGTTAAATTTTTTTTTTTGTGAATATTTTTGTCTGGAACGGATTAATGGTATTTCCATTAATTCTTATGGGAAATATTAATTTGGTTTTTGGCCATTTTGGTTATCGGCCGACCTTCTGGAACGGATTACGGCCGATAACCGAGGGTCCACTGTACCTGAAACACCACAAATGCAGATATATCGTAACTACAAATATGGAGGTGTATTCGCTTAAAATCTCTTGCTCTCACTCTTGTACTCTCTTCCCTGCCGTCTTTCCCTCTCTGCCCAGTCAGTTATCAGAACTACCCTATACGTAATGTGCCCAGAAGTCAGAAATTTGATCAGTAATACACATTGTGAAATATGCTATAAAGATGCAGGACAAAAAGCATATATGTATTGTACAATACATATATACAAAATATGTTCAGACATGATAAAAAATGTGTCAGGGTTATGAAATGGAAAACCACTGTAAAGTGAAAGACTGAAGACACACATTAATATAGAAGAGTGTGAGATGTAGGAAATATGTAAAATAAACTCAGTGAAAAGTGGGGATTCTGTGGGCATAATAGAATATTTTATCAATGTAAGTGATCCCAGACTTTTTAATTAACATCTTACCAGAAGATATCAGAAACACTGCTGGGACAAGCAAGGAAGTCTTCAAGAGGAAACTCGGTAAGTGCCTTCACCAGGTGTCACATCAGGCTGTGATGGATATGTGGGCCAGCAGTAAAGCCTGGTTGATCAGACAAACCTGACCCAGGGCTGGGCTTTAGTAGTAGAAAAATTTTTGAAACTTATCAAAGGTACGCAAAAGTACAGTTGTATGTACAGGAAGTAGGAAAAGAAGTGGGGATGTGATTATCATAAAATGTCAAAATCATAAAAGTATACAAGAAAATAGGCAAGGAAGATTTTTTGAAAGCTAACAGAATAAAGAGGCTAAAATTTCAAACTATGAAAATAAATAATGAGGAAAGGATACCAGAAAATTTTTCACAGTGGTTTATAGCTGAAATGAGATCAGAGATGAAGTAATGTATTTTACAACTTCAAGAAACTACCAATTTATGCAACAAACTGAAAACTTAAAATTGGACACCATGAGCAGACCGCTGTTCTCATAACTACACATGCATAATCATAAATAAGCATATTTACTCTCACCAGAAATGTTACTGGATTAAGAACCAAAGAAACTCAGAAAATAGAGTGCACACTACTTGTAAAGTAAAAATTTGAATGATTTACTGGTTATCTTACCTGTCTATGAAGTAGAAAGAAACTAATCGTGCCAGAGTGCAAAACATTTTAAAAGGCTTCCATGTTACATTCATGTAACAAGATGGTAATACTTCCCTGGACAGATACTGTCTACAAACCTACTACCATCGACCAACAAAAGTTATTCTAATAATTTTTGTGGTGGTAGTGATCTTTGTTCCTGGGGGTTGTCAGAGTCCCAGCCTCCTCACCTCTTTCCTTCCTCATTTACTTTCTTTTTTTACCACAGTAACTATTTCCCACTAGGATAGTGACCCAAAGAAAAAAACACATTTCCTTCCCTCACTCAATAGCTATATTGCCAAAAGTGCACAGACATTTTAATTAAAATGATCCTCCAAGCTGCAACATTCCCCACTTATTTTTCAACTTGCAGGTAGTGTGCTTGTGATAAATGATTTAAAAAAACGACAAGTTGAAGATTGAAACACTTATGCAATATGAGGGACTGATTACCTCAAAGTTTTGGAGTGAGATTAACAAGTTAAGAAAGCCTAGAGAACAAATGGATTTGTCAGTTAAAAATAGGAGAGGAAAGTTATTAAATGGAGACTTAGAGGTATTGGGAAGATGGAGGGAATATTTTGAGGAATTGTTAAATGTTGATGAAGATAGAGAAGCTGTGATTTCGTGTATAGGGCAAGGAGGAACAACATCTTGTAGGAGTGAGGAAGAGCCAGTTGTGAGTGTGGGGGAAGTTCGTGAGGCAGTAGGTAAAATGAAAGGGGGTAAGGCAGCCGGGATTGATGGGATAAAGATAGAAATGTTAAAAGCAGGTGGGGATATAGTTTTGGAGTGGTTGGTGCAATTATTTAATAAATGTATGGAAGAGGGTAAGGTACCTAGGGATTGGCAGAGAGCATGCATAGTTCCTTTGTATAAAGGCAAAGGGGATAAAAGAGAGTGCAAAAATTATAGGGGATAAGTCTGTTGAGTATACCTGGCAAAGTGTATGGTACAGTTATTATTGAAAGAATTAAGAGTAAGATGGAGAATAGGATAGCAGATGAACAAGGAGGCTTTAGGAAAGGTAGGGGGTGTGTGGACCAGGTGTTTGCAGTGAAACATATAAGTGAACAGTATTTAGATAAGGCTAAAGAGGTCTTTGTGGCATTTATGGATTTGGAAAAGGCGTATGACAGGGTGGATAGGGGGGCAATGTGGCAGATGTTGCAGGTGTATGGTGTAGGAGGTAGGTTACTGAAAGCAGTGAAGAGTTTTTACGAGGATAGTGAGGCTCAAGTTAGAGTATGTAGGAAAGAGGGAAATTATTTCCCAGTAAAAGTAGGCCTTAGACAAGGATGTGTGATGTCACCGTGGTTGTTTAATATATTTATAGATGGGGTTGTAAGAGAAGTAAGTGCGAGGGTCTTGGCAAGAGGCGTGGAGTTAAAAGATAAAGAATCACACATAAAGTGGGAGTTGTCAAAGTTGCTCTTTGCTGATGACACTGTGCTCTTGGGAGATTCTGAAGAGAAGTTGCAGAGATTGGTGGATGAATTTGGTAGGGTGTGCAAAAGAAGAAAATTGAAAGTGAATACAGGAAAGAGTAAGGTTATGAGGATAACAAAAAAGATTAGGTGATGAAAGTTTGGATATCAGATTGGAGG